ATTTTAGTTGTGCCTCAAACCAGTCATCTGCAGCAGCCATGGCATCAGAAATGGTGTGAAATTTGGTACCCTTGAGGTGTATCTTTAGGTTTGGAAACAGATGATAGTTGGAGGGAGCTAGATCCGGTGAATAAGGTGGATGGTCAACCAGCTGGAAGCCTAGCTCCACCAGTTTTGCCATAGTCACTTGTGCAGTGTGAGCAGAGGCGTTGTCTTGCAGGAACAAGATTCCTTTTGATGACTTGCCACACCTTTTGGCCTTCAGAACTGCCTTCAATTGATCCAAAAATTCAGTGTAATACTTTGCATTGATGGTGGAACCATTTTGAAGGTAGTCCACTAGCAGCACACCCTCCTTACACAGACGCCATCACCTTAGTGGCTGTTTTTTGCACCCCGAACTTCTTTGGATGAGGAGAACCACTGTGCCTCCACTCTTTTGACTGCTCCTTGGTTTCAGGGTCATACAAATAAATCCAGGTCTCATCCATAGAGACTAGTTGATCCAGGAAGTTCCTATCAGTCCGGAAATGCTGATAAATGGACCAGGAAGTTTTCACTTGCATGCTTTTTTGATCTGTTGTCAAACATTTGGGGACCCACTTTGCAGAGAATTTCTTCAAATGTTCATGGATAATGACACATACACATTCACGAGAAATCCCCATGATGCCTGCTATTCCTTTAGCTGAAATTCACTGATTCTACTGTGTGCAGCATCGACAATCTCCGGAACAACAACTACTCTCGGTCATCCAGGATGTTCCTTATCATTAGTGCTGAAGTGGCCCGATTTAAATTTGGCAACCAAGTTCTTAACTGTAGAATATGAAGGGCATTGATCCCCCAATGTCTGCGACATATCACCATGAATATCCTTTGTGGACTTTCCTTGCAGAAACAAGAATTTTATCATTCCTCTGCTCTCATTTGCTGTGAATATCGCCTTAGACTCTGCCATTTTGTTTCCCCGCGTGCCTAGATCACTGTTGTCATAAGCTACAAATACAAAATTTTGAAAACATATATTAGACACATAAGGCTTTCATGTGATGTAACATTCGTTACTACAGAAACAAAACAAGAACACAAAGCCAAAGACTTATCAGCAGCCCCTTGTATGTGAAGAGACTCCCATCAACTGCATTCATGTTTTTTTTTTTCAAACCAGAATAGAATAGGTAGGATTTTCAAATTCATATAATATTTAATCAAATGATGCTTGGAAAAATGGAAGACTAATCCCACTTGCGGTTAGTCTGCCCCACTCAAATCTAAAATGGCGGAGGATGCAGAAGAAGCCATCAAGGTTTAGGTAAAGATTTTCCCCTGACATTAAGTCCAGTCATGTCCGACTCTGGGGGTTGGTGCTCATCTCCATTTCTAAGCCAAAGAGCCAGCATTGTCTGTAGACACCTCCAAGGACATGTGGCCGGCATGACTGCATTGAGTGCTGTTACTTTCCTGCTGGAGCATTACCAATTAATCTACTCACATTTGCCATCAAACACACAAGCAAATATATGGCCACCGCAGTTCCACTTTCCAGGCATTTTCTTCATAGATATGATGCAACCCAAGAACTGAGATCAACGGGAAGATGGAACCAGGGAGAGGTTGTGGCACACCTACCTGTACATGCCTTTGTGATTAAAACACACACACACTTCCTTCAGCACTGAAGATTGAAGTTTCCATCATATGTCACTTGGACTTTAAGCCTCAAGCACAGACTTGCGATTCCACCACTGATAACCTGTAAAAAACTCCATTAAACATAAGCTGCTGCTCACCAAGGCCGCATCTACACTATTGTTGTTGTTGTTGTTGTTGTTGTTGGTATATGGCAGTGTAGACTCATATAATCCAGCTCAAAGCAGATAATCTGGGATCAGATCCTGGGATATAGGGCTGTGTACATCCAGTCATAATCCAAAACAGATATTCCACATTATCTGCTTTGAACTGGATTTTGCCAGCCTATATGGCAATGTGGAATCAACCTGAGAGGTGGGAGATAAATATTATTATTAATAATAGTCGCTTTGAATCCCTTTTAACAGCTGAAAGCAGGATGATAATAATAACAATAATGGAAATAATAATAATAAGCACTTGAAAAGTCTTAGTCTAGACAGAACACAAATCCACATGCTGCAGAAGGCAGCACTTCTCAGAACTACATTCTACAAAAATCGCTCAAATATCCTAGGCCCTTGGGAAGAGCCCGATATTCAGAGACTGATCCCAGACACTTGGACCTAGTGAGCATGTGTGTTGTGATGTTATATACATGTGATAAATAACAACAACAATAATTGATAGACTGAATGAGATCTCTGGTTCAGAGAAGGAGACCTTGGCAAGAAGGGTCTCTTCTACGCTGCCATATAAATTCTAGATTATCTGCTTTGAACTGGATTATGTGGCAGTGTAGACTCATATAATCCAGTTCAAAACAGATAATCTGGATTATGTTCTTTGATAATCTGATTATATGGCAATGTAGAAGGGGCCCTACACTGCCATATAAAATCTAGATTATCTTTGAATTGGATTATCTGTGAGTGTAGACTCATATAATCCAGTTCAAAGCAGACAATGTGGATTATCTGATTTGATAATCTGATTATATGGCAGTGTAGAAGGGGCCCTACACTGCCATATAAAATCCAAATTATTTTTGAACTGGATTATCTGGAAGTGTAGACTCATATAATCCAGTTTAAAGCAGATAATGTGGATGATCTGTTTTAATAATCTGGATTATCCGGCAGTGTAGATTTATATAATCCAGTTCAAAGCAGATAATGAGGATTATCTGTTTTGATCATCTGGATTATCTGGCAGTGTAGACTCATATCATCCCATCCAAAGCAGATAATGTGGATTATTTTGATACCCTGGATTACCTGGCAATGTAGACTCATATAATCCAGTTCAAAACAGATAATATGGATTATCTGATTTGATAATCTGATGATATGGCAGGGTAGATGGGGTCCTACACTGCCATATAAAATCCAAATTATGTTTGAACTGGATTACCTGGAAGTGTAGACTCATATAATCCAGTTCAAAGCAGATAATGTGGATTATCTGTTTTGATCATCTGGATTACATGGGAGTGTAGACTCATATAATCCAGTTCAGATAATGTGGATGATCTGTTTTTACCATCTGGGTTATTTGGCAGTGTAGACGCATATAATCCAGTCTAAAGCATATAGTGTATTATCTGTTTTGATAATCTGGATTATATGGGAGTGTAGACTCATATAATCCCGTTCAAAGCATATAATGTGTATTATCTGTTTTGATAATCTGGATTATCTGGCAGTGTAGACTCATATAATCCAGGTCAAAACAGATAATGTGGATTATCTGATTTGATAATCTGATTATATTGCAGTGCAGAAGGGGCCCTACACTGCCATATAAAATCCAAATTATTTTTGAACTGGATTATCTGGAAGTGTAGACTCATATAATCCAGTTCAAAGCTGATAATGTGGATTATCTGTTTTAATAATCTGGATTATCCGGCAGTGTAGATTTATATAATCCAAAGCAGATAATGAGGATTATCTGTTTTGATCATCTGGATTATATGGGAGTGTAGACTCATATAATTCAGTTCAGATAATGCGGATGATCTGTTTTGATCATCTAGATTATCTGGCAGTGTAGACTCATATAATCCAGTTCAAAGCAGATAATGTGGATTAACTGTTTTGATCATCTGGATTATCTGGCAGTGTAGACTCATATCATCCCATCAAAAGCAGATAATGTGGATTATTTTGATAACCTGGATTACCTGGCAGTGTAGACTAATATAATCCAGTTCAAAACAGATAATGTGGATTATCTGATTTGATAATCTGATTATATGGCAGTGTAGATGGGGTCCTACAATGCCATATAAAATCCAGATTATTTTTGAACTGGATTATCTGGGAGTTGTAGACCCATATAATCCAGCTCAAAGCAGATAATGCGGATGATCTGTTTTGATCATCTGGATTATCTGGCAGTGTAGACTCATATAATCTGGCTCAACGCAGATAATGTAGATGATCTGATTTGATAATCTGATTATATGGCAGTGTAGAAGGGGCCCTACACTGCCATTTAAAATCCAGATGATCTTTGAACGGGATTATCTGGGAGTTTTAGGCCCATATAATCCAGCCCAAAGCAGATAATGTGGATTATCTATTTTGATAATCTGGATTATGTGGCACTGTAGACTCATATAATCCAGCTCAAAGCAGATAATGTGGATTATATGTTTTGATCATCTGGATTATCCAACAGTATAAACTCATATAATCCAGTTCAAAGAAGATAGTGAGAATGATCTTTTTTGATCATCTGGATTATCTGGTAGTGTAGATTAATATAATCCAGTTTAAAGCAGATAAGGTGAATAATCTGTTCTGATCATTTGGGTTATCTGGCAGTGTAGATTCATCTAATCCACTTCAAAGCAGATAATGTGGATGATCTGTTTTGATCATCTGTATTATCCGGCAATGTAGATCCATATAATCCAGTTCAAAGCAGATAATATGGAGATCTGTTTTGATCATCTGGATTACATGGCAGTGTAGAGGGTCCAGGGTCTTGGCTTTCAGGAGATGGGCTGCAACCGACACCAGAGAGAGGGAGGCAAAGTTACATAACTTGGCACAATCTCCTTGGAAATTGCATCAGCTCAGAACAATCCGAAAAAAAAGAAGCCAAACCGGCCTGCCCAGCTCTCTTATACAACCTCAGGACCAACGTGGGGCTGCCTGGATTTAGTATCCCCCCCCCCTTTTCTTTCCCCCAAGTCGACCCTCTTTTGGGGGGTGAGAAGCCTTTTGCTAAAGCCGACCTTGGCTTTAGTTGGGCGCCAATCCCAGGGAGGGAGGGCGGACATGGCTTGAACTGACCTACCCCCACGAAGGAAAGGAAACACGCCCCCTGGCCTCCTCCTCCCTGCTCTCCTCCCCTTTCCCTCCCTGCGTGGGAATGGGCTCTTCCAGGGCCCTCCTCTCCTGGTGATGGTGGCTACTGGTGGAGGAGGCACTTTCACTTTTCTATAAAGGCCCGGCGGAGGAGTGACAGCTCAGCCACTCGCGCCCAAGGGGAACCCGAAGCCCCCGGTTTAAAAAAAGAAGAAGCCCGGCCTTTTGTGCCTTACAAGGAGGAGGAGGAAGGAGGGGAGGCGAGAGGAGGAGCTGCTCCTGGGAAGAGGGCTCTCCTTCTCCTTTTTGTCTCCAGAGGAGGGTTCCCGAAATCAGGAGAGGAGGACAGGACCACCCCCGCCATGAACGGGACGCTGGACAGCCTGGAAGACTACACACTCAACGAGGAAGCCGGGGCGTTCATGTTCACCTCGGAGTCGGTGGGAGAAGGGCATCCAGGTGAGCAGACAGATGGCCAGGCTGCTGCCCTGCTGCAGGGAGAGACAGGGCAACAGCCATGGGCCAAACAGCACTCTTCTATCTGCCTGGATCTACACTGCCTGGATGTTCCACATGATCTGCTTTGAACTGGATTATATGAGTCTACACTGCCGTATAATCCAGATCAAAGTAGATGATCTGGATTTTATAATGACTTGATAAGGCCTTAGATATCTGCGGTGGCACAGTGGGTTAAACCACTGAGCTGCTGAACTTGCTGACTGAAAGGTTGACAGTTCAAATCCAGGGAGCGCTGTTCGTCCCAGCTTCTGCCAACCTAGCAGTTTGAAAGCATGTGAATGTGAGTAGAGCAATCGGTATCATTCAGATGGGAAAGTAATGGTGCTTCATGCAGTCATGCCGACCACATGAACTTGGAGGTTTCTCTGGACAATGCCGGCTTTGAAATGGAGATGAGAACCAACACGACCAGACTTAATGTCAGAGGAAAAGCTTTACCTTTACACTACTGTATAATCCAGTTCAAAGCAGATAAGGTTGACAGTTCAAATCCAGGGAGCGCTGTTCGTCCCAGCTTCTGCCAACCTAGCAGTTTGAAAGCATGTGAATGTGAGTAGAGCAATAGGTATCGAAGCCCCCTGGTATTTATTTGTCGTGTCAGATTAACCAGTCAATTATATTGCATTTCTAACAGAACAAAGCAAACAAACAGATAAAATACAACATTTTGGTAGTTGGTTAAATGTCCTTTGACCAGTATCTGGCCACTTGGAGTGCTTCTGCTGTTGCTGCAAGAAGGTCCTCCATGGTGCATGTGGCAGGGCTCAGGGTGCATTGCAGCAGGTGGTCAGTGGTTTGCTCTTCTCCACACTCGCATATCGAGGATTCCACTTTGTAGCCTCATTTCTGAAGGTTGGCTCTGCATCTCGTGGTGCCAGAGCGCAGTCTGTTCAGCGCCTTCCAAGTCGCCCAGTCCTCTGTGTGCCCAGGGGGGAGTCTCTCATTTGGTATCAGCCATTGGTTGAGGTTCTGGGTTTGGGCCTGCCACTTTTGGACTCTCACTTGCTGAGGTGTTCCAGTGAGTGTCTCTGTAGATCTTAGAAAACTATGTCTTGATTTAAGTTGTTAACATGCTGGCTGATACCCAAAGAGGGGATGAGCTAGAGATGTCTCTGCCTTGGTCCCTTCACTATTGGCTGCTACTTCCTGGTGGATGTCAGGTGGTGCAATACCGACTAAGCAGTGTAATTTCTCCAGTGGTGTAGGGCGCAGACACCCTGTGATAATGCAGCATGTCTCATTACAAGCCACATCTACTGTTTTAGTGTGGTGAGATGTGTTCCACACTGGGCATGCGTACTCAGCAGCAGAGTAGCATAGCGCAAGGGCAGATGTCTTGTGAGTAGAGCAATAGGTATCAAAGCCCCCTGGTGGTGCAGTGGGTTAAAGCCCTGTGCTGGCAGGACTGAAGACCGACAGGTCATAGGTTCGAATCCGGGGAGAGTGTGGATGAGCTCCCTCTATCAGCTCCAGCTCCTCATGCGGGGACATGGGAGAGGCCTCCCACAAGGATGACAAAACATCAAAAAACATCCGGGCGTCCCCTGGGCAACGTCCTCACAGACAGCCAGTTCTCTCACACCACAAGCAACTTGCAGTTTCTGAAGTTGCTTCTGACATGACAAAAAAAAAACAAAAAACCAAACCGTTCAGACAGGAAAAGGAATGGCGCTCCATGCAGTCATGCTGACTACATGACCTTGGAGGTTTCTATGGACAGCGCTGGCTCTTTGGCTTCGAAATGGAGATGAGAAACAATCCCCAGAGTCAGACTCGACTCGACTTAGTGTCAGAGGAAAAGCTTACTTTCACACTACCGTATTATCCAGTTCAAAGCAGATAATCCAGATTTTCTATGGCACTTGATGGGGTCTTTGATATCTGCGGTGGCGCAGTGGGTTAAACTGCTGCTGAACTTGCTGACTGAAAGGTTGGCATTTTGAATCCATGGAGCTGGGTGAGTTCCCGCTGTTAGCCTCAGCTCCTGCCAACCTAGCAGTTTGAAAACATGCAAATGTGAGTAGATCAATAGATACCACTCAGGCAGGAAGGTAACGGCACTCCATGCAGTCATGCCTGGCACATGACCTTGGAGGTGTCTATGGACAATGCTGGCTCTTTGGCTTTGAAATAGAGATGAGCACCAACTCCCCAGAGTCGGACACAACTGGACTTAATGTCAGGGGAAAACCTTTACCTTTACCTTTACACTGCTATATAATCCAGTTCAGAGCAGATAATCCAGGTTTTATATGGCCCTAGATGGGGCCTTGGATATCTGCAATGGTGCAGTGGTTAAACCGCTGAGCTACTGAACTTGCTGACTGAAAGGTTGACAGTTTGAATCCATGGAGCTGGGAGAGCTCCCGCTGCTAGCCCCAGCTCCTGCCAACCTAACACTTGGAAAACATGTAAATGTGAGTAGATCAATAGGTACTGCTTCGGCAGGAAGGTAACGGCACTCCATGCAGTTATGCTGGCCACATGACCTTGGAGGTGACTACAGACAATGCCGGCTCTTTAGCTTAGAAACTGAGATGAGTATCACTCCCCCAGAGGCAGACATGACTGGACTTAATACCAAAGGGAAACCTTTACATTTATTGTGATTACTAGATATATAGATATCACAAATCTTTACTTCCTGCGGCTAGCTTTTTGTGTAGACATGTGCCAATTATCTATCTCTTGATCAATCAATTGATCCCATCAATCCATTTATCTATCTATCACAAACCTTTACTTCATGCCGCTAACTCCTTGTGCATTTTTTATATAAATGAAAATGTAATGTTTGTTTGTGGGATTAACAACTCAAAAACCACTGGGCAAATTGACACCAGATTTGGACACAATACACAGATCAGGCCAATGAGTGACTGTCACTCATAAAAACACTAAAAAAACACAGTGGAGGAGAGTTAAAAAGCCAAAAAATAAAAATACATTACAATGCATGCAAAAACCCTACATATATACACATATACACAAATATATACACACACATATACACATATATATACACACAAAACATATATACAGACTGGGCCACAGCAATGCGTGGCAGGGGACAGCTAGTCTATCATAAAGCTTTGCTTCTTGCTGCTAGCTTTTTGTGCAGGCATGTGAGAATTATCTCTCTCTTGATCAATCTGTCAATCAATCCGTCTATTGATCTCTCTATCTATCACAAATCTTTACTTCCTGCTGCTAACACCTTGTGCAAACATGTGTCAATTATCTATCTATCTATCTATCTATCTATCTATCTATCACAAATCTTTACTTCTTGCTGCTAATACCTTATGCAGACATGTGCCAATTATCTATCTATCTACCTATCAATCAATCAATCAATCAATCAATCATAAAGCTTACTGCAGCTAACTTTTTGTGCAGACATGTGAGAATTGATTGATCTATCAATTGATCTGTATCAATCAAAAACCTTTACTTACTGCTGCTTACACCTTGTGCAGACATGTGCCAATTATCTATCTATTTATCACAAATCTTTACTTTCTGCAACTAGCTTTTTGTGCAGACATCTGAGAGTTATCTGTCTTTTGATCGATCTATCGATCACTCTATCTATCTATCTATCTATCTATCTATCTACCTACCGTATCTATCTATTGCAAACCTTTACTTCTTGCTGCTAACACCTTGTGCAGACATGTGCTAATTATCTGTCTCTTTATCTATCATAATGCTTTATTTCTTGTGGCTAGCTTTTTTTGTGCAAATACATGCCAATTATCTATCTGTTGATTGAACTAATGATCAATCTGTCTATCTATCTATCTATCTATCTATCTATCTATCTATCATAAATGTTTACTTTTAGCAGTTAGCTTTTCGTGCAGTCATGTTCCAATTATCGATCTATCTGTTAATCTACCTATCTACCTATTAATCATCTTTTCTCTCACACGCACACAGGCCGCTTCTACACTGCCATATAATCAAGATTATCAAAGCAGATAATCCACATTATCTGGTTTGATCTGGATTATATGAGTCTACACTGCCATGTAATCCAGTTCAAAGCAGATAATCTAGATTTTATATGGTAGTGTAGAAGTGACCACACACACACACCCCTCTTCACTTCCTGCTCTAGATATGTGTAACAGAAGCCAGGCCTTATAGATGAATAGAGAGAGCCCCACCTCACATTCACACCCACCCTGATAAGTTGTATCACTCCTCAGCAGCCACGTTGTTGCCCTCATTGTTTTGTTGTGACATGCTGCTTCTCAGCCAAGGAACTCCAACTACAGGCAGTCCCCGAGTTACAAAGATCATTACAAACAACTCACAGTTAAGAATGGGGGTGAGACAACAGGAAGTGCGAGAAATCTATCTCTCGGAAGAGGAATTCACTCCTGAAAGAGTTTTCATGGGAAAAGGTGTCTCCACTGCAGCTTTATCACCAATCCTTGTTTCCACAGCATGCCAAATTTTTCAAAATCCAATTATCACTGGGACAGAAAGTGATCTGAAATATTCTGAACAGAGGCACTGGCAGCAAAACAAACACCACAGGGGTGTTTACCCTTCCATATGCTATCCAAAACGAAAAGATATACAGTAGATTCTCGCTTATCCAACCTTTGCTCATTCAACATTCTGTATTATCCAATGCAGTCTGCCTCCCGCCTGGATCCACAGTTGTTTCAATGCATTGCAATGTTTTGGCGCTAAATTTGTAAATATAATAATTACTACATAATGTTACTGTTTATTGAACTGCTTTTTCTGTCAATTCGTCGTAAAACATTATGTTTTTGGTGCTGAATTCGTAAAATCATAACGTAATTTGATGTTTAATAGGCTTTTCCTTAATCCCTCCTTATTATCCAACAATTTTGCTTATCCGACGTTCTTCCAGCCCATTTATGTTGGATAAGCGAGACTCTACTGTATTTTGTTTG